CAGAGCCAGCGGGGAGGGCGGGGCCGGGTCGGGGCCGGGGCGGGGCCTGGCGCGCGGGGCGCGAGCCGCCGCGGAAGAGGGAGGGGCCGGCCGAGGTGGGCGTGGCGCTAGGCCCCGAGGCCTGCGCGCCCTGCAGACCGCCGCTCGTCCGCGCCGGGCTCCCACCGATACCGCCCGCCTCTTGCGGCTGTTGGGGGGCGCGGCGCCGGTGGCAACCGCTTGCAGAGCCGGGCGCCGCGCGCAAGCGCGCCGTCCCCGCCGCCGGAAGTGACGGTTCCGGCCCGTGTCACGTGGAGGAGGAACCGGCACATCGCCTTGGGGGCTGGGGCTAGGGGTGAAGTCCAGGGGTCCGGTTTATTAGGAGATGCTTCCCCGGGCGGGTCGGCGGGGCTGCTCGGGTTGGAATGGTGTGTGTCGTTCTAGGGTCCTTAAATGCCGCCAGCAGCTTGACCCGCTCTCGGAAGCTGCCCGCTTTCGAGTCTCAGCCCGTTTTCCAGACTCTCTCCGAGAGAATGAGTTTTCCAGGCTCCCCGGAGCGTGGGCGGAGGAGCAGCGCGGAGCTCGCAGGTTCCCACGGGGCGACTTGCGAAGCCCAGGTGTCCTCGCACTGTACCGGATGTTTGCTCTCGGAAGCATTCTGCGGTTTAAGAATTACTTGGGAGAGCTTTAAAAGCCCTGTGTTCCATGTAGGAGCCGTGCAGTTGTGTTCAGAAACAGGTATTAAGATCATTTTTAAAGATCATTAATCGCTATTGGCTGGGGAAGACGTAACCCTGTCACCCAAGGTCACACAGCTGGCTTGTGGCCCGGAGCATCAAAAGTCTTAGTTACTTGCTTTCAGCCATTCTGAAAAAGTAGGTTAGGGTCAGATCCTTAGTCCAGTCCGGCAGATTTAGGACTGTTTGGAAACAGGCAGCAATTTCTGATCCCACCCGAACAAAAGATACGCCTGTTTGAAAAAAGAATGCCTGATTGCCTCACTTTTTAAACTGTAAGAGTCTCATGCCTGCGGGATGGGCACAGGAATGCAGTCAGAGGGCGTGTGGGAGTGGAAAGAATGGCAAAATGGAGAAAATGTGGAAAGAGAGAAGGGGATTCTTGCTCCACCCCACTTCCTGAAGATGGAGTCACATAGAGCCTGAAGTGACCTGGACCTCATTGCCTACCAGAGATAGCCTTGAAGGTGTGATCTTCCTGTGTCTGCCACTGTACCCGCTAGTACTGGGATTATGAGCATGCATCATATCAGGCCTAGCTTGACTTCCTCTCTGTAGGTAGAAAGCAGTTTCGGTAGCCCAAATCTAATCCTAGCTGAAGCAAGAGAACCATGAATTCGAGGCCAGCCTGGAATGCGTGGTAAGGTCTTTTTATTTAAAATGATAATAACTGTGCTTGAAATTTCCAATTTCATAAGCTAAAAATCTAGATTTTTTTTCCACCCATAATGTAACATTTCTCCAGTTTTCTCAAATATAGGCCTGATGGTGTTTCCGGACTCCAGCGAACACCTGTGAAAGTAGATGAATATGATACTATCTCTACCACTATTGTATTTATCTTTCTAATGTGGTACAGGCAAGGGCATTAGCAAATGTGCTTAAGCAAGACTTTCAGCTTCTAACCCTCTGTTCACTCTCCCTCTGCTCTTTGAAGAGAAGCTGTTTGCCCGACGCTCACAGTGCTCCAGATTTAGGCATTTCTGCCGCATAACCCACTAAACTGACATTCTTCATCCAAAGGCCTGACCTTTAAATCACATTCCAGCTCAGTGGAAGTCGGATTATATGTCAGATGATTGATGTGTTGTGGCACTTGGGAGTTTCCATTTAGAAATGAGCTGGCCATCTTCCTCACTGGGAGGAGTCACAGGAGTCGCCTTCCTCCAACAGTTAGTTGTGTTTTTCAAGCAGAATAATGGAGAAATGTAGTCATTTTGTGCGATTCGAAACTGGATTCGCTTAACACACAGTTTGGGCCTCACACAACTCAACCTCATCAGAACTCTAGAATAAAAACCCGTAACCATAACACCACCATTGTTTTGGTAAAGAAAATCACCTCCTTGAACCCACATATCCTGACTTGGGATTTTGAAAGTTAATGTTTAGGACCCTGCTGAAAACTGGTCACCAGCAAGGCATCCATTGAGTTACGAGAAAGTGTGCATGCAAGCCTGACAACCGAGAGCAATCTCTGGAACACACAGGGCACAACCCCAGCTCCTGTAAGCTGTCCTCTGTGTCCTCTGACTATGTACACATATACTCCTAATTCCTAACTGTTTGAAGCTGTTCTTTAATTAAAGGGTGAAAGGGCCATGGAAATGGCTCAGAAGGTTAAGGCAATTACAGCACAGGCCTGGTGATGTAAAAATTTACATAATACTAAAACATCTGAGAAAAAGGTTTTAAGATATTGAGCTGTTCACAATGGCACGTTTAACACGAAATACATTTCTGCAATAGACCTTCAGCTACATCCTGACCTGTTTATCACTCTACTGGGCCAAATGAACCTGGAGAACAGGACCTAAAGATGATGCAGGCTAAAGTCTCAAGCAATAGCCAGCTTTATTCAGAGCATCAGACAATTTATACTCTGGGGTTATGCAGAATCACATAAGTAAAGTGTACAATTACAAGAACAAGCCACACATGGCAAAAACATGTTTCTCCATAGTAGCATGTGAATAACAACAGCCAAAGTAAACTATCTGCTGCACCTGGAGGACCACAAAAATACATTCCAAGAACATTCCTCTGTTTTAAAGAAGTAGTCACAAGACTCCTGTTTTCTTGGTGTTTTCTCACACTCAGAATTCTCTCATGACTCTAGTGTTCTGACACTGTTACATTTTGATTTTAAGGGTTTTTTATTGTTGTTGCTTTATGTGTATAGATTTTTATCTACATGTGTACCTGTGCATCATGGACATGCCTAGTGCCCACAGAGACCAAAAGGGGACATTGGACCCTTTGCCACTGGAGTTACACACAGTTGTGAGCACTCAGGTATGTGCTGAGAACTGAACCCTGTTCCTCTGGAAGAGTGCTCTTAAAAGATGAGCTATTTATTCTGTCTACTGACCATACTTTTAAGAGAAAATTTAAGGAGTCAGCAACTTCACCATCAGGATTTGTACTTTGGTCCCCACATGCCTGATTGGGAAGGGTTCTGCCACCAAATATACAGCACCGTTTACTTACTCTGATGGCAGGCATACATAACCATCCTTTCTCGAATGGCACACAAAAGAATTTTAGTCCAGCAACATGGTTGCTCGGTCTGGAATACAGACACACACTTGGTACACACTCTTGATCCCAAACAATGAAGGTAAACTTAGTTTATAGAAGGAAGCACCATGTCTGATAGTGACGTCTAACTGAGTGGCAGACAAGGTGACAAATCAGAGGAAGATTTGACAGAATATGATACACTCAACAAGAAGAGAGTAGAAAAGGAAGCTATGTAAGAGAGCATAAAGAGAAGAAACAGGAAAAAGGCAGTCTTACCAGCAGTTATAGAGAGGTTTCAGAGAGAGAACAAGCTAGGCACGGGTGAAGAAAGAAGGAGCCAGAGAATAAGACGAAGTGAGATTAGAACATATCACCAAAGTTAGTATGAAGCTAAGCAATTCAGTCAGAGGCCAAGAGAGAAGCCAGTTTGGATGAGTCATCTTGGAAAGAAGTTTGATCCAGAACATCTGAGTTGAACCAGCCAGTCAGAGCTCAGAAAGAACTAGAAAGGATGAGCTTTTTCACCAGTAAGTCTCAGACTGAAAACATTCTAGGCCTAAATTAGATTGTACAGAGGCTAGAAGTTTCCAGGACCAGGCCTGGGTAAGTAGACAGAGGCAGTAAGCCTCTGAGACAACAAATACCGCTGGAGACTAAAAGCTGCTTTTACAGAAGTATGTGTCCTGGACTGGCATTACAGCCACATCCTGCCCTTTTCCTAAGTAGTGTAGCTTCCCTCCTTCAGCCGAGGTAGTGCAAAGGTATCGGAGCTATTCGAAAGTAAGTTGTGTTCATTAACTACTCAGCAAGTCATGACAGCCTATAAGGTAGATTCTATAATGATAGGATTCTATAATAATAGCTCCTATTAGTCAGATGAGAATACTGATACACAAGATTAGACCACCTACCTCAGGTCCTTGTGACTTGTGACTTGTGACCGGCTTCAAAATCGGTTCGTTATGATTGTTCACTGACTCTCAACCATATTCTGACTCCTTGAAAACACAAATTACGTCACATGACGGCTACAGTTTGAGATGATAAGATACCTCCTACTCTGGCCACACGTGACACAAGTGTCCTGTCACAGCTCAGGAAACCCTGCTACAATAAGTGAGATTACCTCTAGTTTTTCATTAGCTAGATATCTATTTAACA